GCCTGTATTATCAGATGATGATAAAAGCAAAGGACATGTCAGCATGTAGCACCAAAACAAGGCAGTTTTGTCAGTGTGCTCTGACCATCCTACTGAGTGTGTGTGTTTGGGTGGGTGTGACCCCACCGAGGCATCTCTGGAGGTATGAATAACAAATAGACTTATTTCATTAGTGTGCGGCTCAACCACACTCCCACAAGACTGTGAGATAGAACTAACCCAACAATTTGAGGAATTCAGGAGGACTGCTGGGTTTACCCAGGATTGTCACTGGTTTGAGTCACCATGAGTTATGTCCATGTTGTGCAAACTTTAAGCAACAGTTAAACACTTTTTTTTTAATGACGACTTTCTGAGAAAGTCATTTATCTGCAATTTGCTCACTCAGCCTTTGTTGACAGAATTTTTTTGCATTGTCACAGACTTGTAAATAGCATTGTCATCAGAGAACTAAATAAATAAAGGAGCTCAGCTCAGCAGGAGGGAACTGACAAAACCCTCCTGTCCGGCTGGCCTCTGCCTGGACGCGGCGTTGAAACTTATCAGGCACCAAAAATAACAAGAGGGCGACGAGTGAGCTCTTCCATTTCACTTTACACTGATAAATAATAAACATTCATGAGAGGCAGCGTCTTTACACTGACACGGGGAGGAGGGGGATTCCATTAAGGTGAACCCTGTGAATGTAAGGTATGTCCTGATACCAGCGGAGATAAAACCATCTCTACGTGGACTCCCAGCCAATGTAAAGGGGCTTTATGTAGATGTAAATGTATACAGAGGTAAATAAAAGGATATGAAACCCACACTGATGTGGAGAAAATCTGAATGATTGCTTCTTTTAATCAACACAAAGTTAAACAGCGAACAAAGCCCAGGTTCTCTCTGCCTCGTGTTTATGTCTGCAATAAACTGTGGATTTAAGTCCCAGTTGGGTTTTGACAGAATCTTTCACATCCAATTCAACCCAACGTACAATAGCAGGATACTGCAACTAATGATAACACGCAGGCCATACCATCCTTATTATGGTTTCAGCCGAGTGTTATACTAATATTTGTGGATACACTATATCAAAATAGTTTTTTATTATTATTATTTCTATGTGACCCTCTTTTAAAAAATGACCATGTGAAACTAGAGCTCTATGATTCCCAAAGTGGGGCACGGGACCCCTACAAGCCTCAAGGCAAATCAATTTTAACTATAATGTTTTGTTTCGTAGTTTGAATTTTTTGTTGAATGAAAATAGAAGCTTTTAAATAAATGAAGTGTTTCAAATGAATACTCAGTGGAGCTTGGAATAGAACAGCAGAAAATGCAGTGTCACAGTGACCTGTCACATCTAAATACCACAAATTCACTTGTGAGGTTAAATGTTGTGTTAATCGTTGCTGATATATATATATATATATATACATATATATATATATATATGTGTAAAATTGAATTTGTGATTTTATCCGTTCTTTTTTTACTGTCAGTAAAAAATAATGATTTAAATAGGACGTAATAATGAAACACTGGTCCATGTGTTTAAACAGTTTGAGGGAAATGGATTTTACTGCATTACTTCCTGCACCCACAGTGAGCATAAATACACCGCACCCCCATGTACAGAACTTTGATTGGCTAAATATATATATATATATATTATTATTAATATTACTATTATTATTTGTTTGGTTGACATTGGCCACAAAGAACTCCAGAAACCTGAGACAGTGGTCAGAGCCTGGGGGGTGAGCATCAGGAGGATGGTAACAACCAGTACAGAATGAGTTTGTGAGAAATGCTTTTATTCAAATCTCTATTTTGTAAACCCAAAATATGCCCATAATGAAATCCCTTAATTAGTTAATGGCTAATTTAATTTATTTTCAGCCCCATGGACTCAGCTTAAGAGGGCAATATTCAATTATCCATTATTTTTAAAAGTAACTATTTAACAGTAATGTTCGGGCACGTAATAAAGCATGTTCATCCACGTCAGTGGTTACCAAGCTGACCACTGAGACAGGAAGCTCCGACACAGACAGTGAAAGAGAAAACAGGCCGACTTCGTCTGCACCTGTAGGCGTGTTTTCAACTTGGCCAAAGTCTGACACAATGACTGGCCTCATGCCTGATGCTCTGGGTATTTGTTGACGACAGCTGCTTCACCCACTGCACAATATGTTCCTACTTAATAGAGCCTGTTCAGACTGTCATTTCAGCCCTGATGTGTGCAATTTCTTGGAAGAAAGGATTGAAAATGTGCCCTCTATATGAAATTTCTGCGGTGGAGTAGGGATACGTGCCGCTGCCTTACAGGGGACGGAGCTCACCAGTTTGATTCCGGTGGTAACTGATGGTGCCCTTTACACATTAATAATACAATATGGCAAGTGTTGGTTCACAGAGCGCAGCAAACAGCCTGGACTAGCCCACAGTTTCTTGGCAGCGTTCTCTCATTACCATACAGGTCTGGAGCAGAGTTCTGCTCACGGATTTGATCTGCTTTTAACCAAAGGGGCCTCACACCCAAGTTGCCTCAATAGCTTTTATCCCACTCTATGGGGGTTGGCTAAGGAAACTCATGGGGGGCTTGGAGAGGGGTGTGTGGCTGCCTGTTCTTTTCATTGCTTAGATTCAAGATCTAGATCCAGCATTTTAATCAACTACATAGAAAAAAAAAGTCTGTAATGCTTTGCAAGTACACTGTGTGATATTTAAATTCTGACTTACAGGGACGAAGGATGGACTGAAACGCAGCCGACGCCAAATGAAGTTCTCGGACTCGTTCTCTGTGACTTGAATGAGCAAACATTTGCCTAATTAGTGCTGTGATTACACAAGGGTTGGGCCAGATTGAATGATGTGACATTCACAGTAATGTCACCCCTGTAACCCCATTAAACCGCTGGGTGAGGCAGAGCTGTGCCGCAGTTTTCCATCTATCAGCAGGGAGGAATACACAAGTGGGCGGCTTGGGTGGTGCCTGTCGAAGTGGTGTGAGAATGTTATTGATTACAGACCAAGCAGCATCACACTGGTTTAGTCTCACTAGTCCTATATAATAATAATTTTAAAAAAGGCTCGAACGAAACTGTGCCATAAATCTGGTCAGATGTATTCACATTTACACTGGTTTTATTAAAATATTTTTGGTCCATGCTTGTTTAGAATATTACATTTTCTTTCTGGTGTTTGCCATTTAAATGTGGCAGCTATCAGGCAGAGGTGACGTCTGATTTGTAGGAGGGCAGAACACTTGCTTCCACAGTGGAAGCAAATGTTCACACTAAAAAAGTGCTGAAAAAACCCCTGGATCACCTGAAGAAACAGTTCATTTCTAAAAAATCATGTTTCTGCAAATCTCCAACAGTAATAATGATTCCTGAGTTTAGTTTTCAAGCTTGGGTAGTGAAGCTAATACAGATTGTCTAATTTGCTGACACATCACTACAACACATCAGCATGTGTTGCTAAGAATATCAGCAAGAGAGGATGCATGTGTTGGGGAGTTGCTAAGAATATCAGCAAGAGAGGATGGAAATATCACCACTTCACTGGCTACCAATGAGGTGCTGTGTTTTTTAGGAGATAACGTTTGGACTCAGAAAAGAGGAACTCCCAGAAGGAGTTCTGGCCGAGTTGCTGAAGTTGTAACACATGTCAAGGGAAATGCTGGACAGGGTACAAATCAATGAAAGCCTTGGCCGAGCTGTGAAGCAGCTGAATGTAGTAACAACAAGTTTTGTCCATTTAGTCTGAGAAAGTCTTCTGGTGAGATTGATTAAAGTACATGACAGTTCAAAATCATTCAAACTGCTCTGTGCTCGGCTACAAACATGGACCGATTGATGTTGTTGATTTTAAAGTTCAGCTCAGTGATCGTGCAGAGATCTACTGTGCAGCCGTCCAAAAAGTGAATAAAGAGTTCCTATGGTCTGTTACTAAGTTGGCATCGGTGATTCTTGGCTCTGATCTTTGCCAGTGGAAAGTGAAAGGACAAGCCGTTTGCTATGCTGCAACACAACTCCACTATTAAATGGATCTGAGTTGAGGGAACTTTACAACAAACTGAGTAGGTTAACGAAAAACACCACAAGGATTGGTTAAAAAAAATTCTTCCAAGCGCTGATAATCTCACAGGTCCCTCCTTCCTGTCTGTTTCCTACACATGCTGATATTCCTCAAAAGCACAAACAAGCTGGCTTTGTGGCACTGTCTAACCTTACCTTCCTCCTGCTGACTAACATGGCCGCCTCTGACTTGGGGAAACAATTACACAATGTAGGGAAGCAGCTCCCAGATTGCTTCCTTCCCTTGATAAGGCAGTGGCTACCAAAGAACTGGAGACTGGAGTGTCCTTTTCGCACTCTGGGGAGGCATGCCGTGTGAGAAGATCCTGTGGTTCTGGAGCCAACACCTGCCCTGTTGACACTCCTGCAGTCTCCCTGCAGTTCCCAGTTGACCTGCGCTGATTATTAGCTCTCGATGATTTCCATCTTTGTGTGCACAGTGCTTTGTATGTAAGATTTAGTGCTGACACCTGGGCAGTTAGGAAATGTTTTCAATGGCTTTAAATGTCTGTCT